GGCTGATGGTGGAGATCCATTGAGCCAAGAATCAAACACCAAAAACAGCTGCCAACACAGCAGATCCTGTTCGTATTTAAAAAAAAAAAAAAAAAAGGGCTTGGGGTTGGAGTGCCGGGCGCGGTGGCTCATGCCTGGTAACACCCACACTTGTGAGCCTGAGGGTGGGGCGGATCACAAGGTCAGGAGATAGAGCAGATCATCGCTGGCTAACACTGTGAAACCCAGCTCGTTACTAAAAATAAAAAAAAAATAGCCAGGCATGGTGGCAGGTGGCCTGTAGGCCCAGTACTTGGGAGAGCTGAGATAGAGAATGGCATGAACCACAGGAGGCGGAGCTTTGCAGTGAGCGCGAAGTCGCCCACTGGCAACTCCAGCCTGGCAACAGAGGGAGGACCTCTGTCTCAAAAAAAAAAAAGGAAAAAACTTATTTGCAATGTCAATCCCAGGGCTCATAGCTCCCTTATGAAAATCTTTGTCTACAAAAGAAATCAACACTCTGGCAATAAATCCACCTTATGTTCAGCACTATGAAATAAAAATAATATTTACCAAAAAGACATTCTAGTTGCAAATTAAAACCTATTAGCGGGAATAGTAAACAGGTATGTCAGGGGACATGTTCCACTAAAGTAAACAGGCGTAGGTCAGGCACGGTGGCTAAGCCTATAATCTTAGCACTTTGGGAGGCTGAGGGCAGAGGCACATCGCTGAGCCAGTTGAGGAGCAAGCCTGAGCACACAGCAAGACCAACACATTATTTTTTTTTTTAATTAAAAAACATATGGGACAGGGCAATGGCTCACCCAGTATAATCCCAGCACTTCGGGAGGCCAAGACTGAGTCGGCATGCTTGAGTCCAGGAGTTCCAGCACTTTGGAAGGCCGAGGCAGGTGGATCGCCTAAGGTCAGGAGGCCAGCCTGACCAACATAGTGAAACCCCGTCTCTACTAAAAATAGAAAAACTAACCGGGCATGGTGGTGGGTGCCTGTAATCCTAGCTACTCAGGAGGGTGAGACAGGAGAATCACTTGAACCCAGGAGGAGGAGGTTGTAGTGGGCCGAGATTGCACCATTGCACTCCAGCCTGGGCAACAAGAGTGAAACTCCACCTCAAGAAAAAAAAAAAAAAAAAACGTGGGAGAGAATAAGGGGTCTGAGACTATGTTTTGACACTTTCTGGCTATGACCAAGTTGCTGATAGATCTCTGTCCCAATGTACCTTCATTTTTCTCCTTCCCCACTGTAGTAGAAAGTCTTCTCTAGTTCAAAATAGAATACTATATTTGCAGAATATCCTTACCTTGGTTTTCACTCCGGGATATCTGGTCTACTCCCTAGCCTTTCAAGAAATTTCACTTTTTAATAATTTGATGGCCGTGCGCAGTGACTCACGCCTGTAATCCCAGCACTCTGGGAGGTCAAGGCAGGTGGATCAGGAGTTCAAGACCAGTCTGGCCAAGATGGTGAAACCCCATCTCTACTAAAAATGCAAAAATTAGCCAGAGGTGGTGGCGGGCACCTGTAATCCCAGCTACTTGGGAGGCTGAGGCAGAGAACAGCTTGAACCTGGGAGGCAGAGGTTGCAGTGAGCCGAGATCGCGCCACTGCACTCCAGCCTGGGCAACAGAGCGAGACTCTGTCTCAAAAAAAAAAAGGAAAAAATTATTTGCAATGTCAATCCCAGGCTCTAGCTCCCTTTATGAAAATTTTCTGCTACAAAAGAAATCAACACTTGGCAATAAATCCCCTTATGTTCAGCATATGAAAGTAAAAATTATATTTTAACCAAAAGACATTCTAGTTGCAAATTAAAAACCTGATTAGCGAATAGTAAACAGGTATGTCAGGACATGTTCCACTAAAGTAAACAGTAGGTCAGGCACGGTGGCTTACACCTATAATCTTAGCACTTTGGGAGGCTGAGGCAGGCACATCGCTTGAGCCAAGTTTGAGACCAGCCTGAGCAACACAGCAAGACCACATCATTCAGCTTTAATGTATTCAGTGTAGCGCGCGGATCTTGCAAGTGGAAGCAGCCAGAGATATCTTCTTCTTCTTTTTTATGGCTGTATATTCTTCATGGTAAATATATGCAATGCCATTTTTCAGTTTTGTCCAGTATATACCCTTGAATGGACTTTAAGTTCGATTCCAGTGTCTCTTGCTATTGGTGACTGCGCGGTGCTACTGCCAGTGGACTACATAGTGCATGTGGTGCCTTTTATGCTGGAGTGGAGTTTAATAATCCTTTTGGGTAGTATATCCAATAATGGGAAATGTTTGTTGCACTCCAAGCGGCTACGCCGGCCAAACAGAAAGCGAGACTCTGTCTCAAAAAAAAATGCTGGTTTTAGGTCACAAATAGGAACACACACTTATTGATGTCATAAGATCCAAGTAATAACCCCGAAATGGTCTCTATGTCTCAGCTTTCCTTTAATTGAACAATATTTTCTGTCTAACATAAGAGATAGATTGACAACTCACTGTGGCAATGGAGATATTGTTCTCATACCATGGTTACTTGTTCAGTTGCATCAGTTGATAAAAGGTGAGAGAAGAAATATTATTATTTTTACTAATCCTAAATGACATTCTAGTTGCAAATTAAAAACTTAGATCAGCGAATATGTAAAAACAGGTATTGAGTTTTTCATGCGTGTAGACATGTGCGCAACTAAAAGTAAACAGTATATGCGAAGCTGTTCAGTCAGATGCTTATTTCTTGGCATCTATCAAGCAGTAGGTCAATTTACATCTGCGCTTTGTAATCACTATTATAACTTTGACTTAATCAGGCTACATATATTTATTTTGATTTGCATATGTTGATTATCCTTGCATCCCTCGGGAAAATTTTCTGGTGCGCAGAGTCTATTATCCTGTAAAGTGTGGCAGGTTTGATTGCGTGCACATCCAGTCGCTTGAGCCAAGTTTTCTGTAGAGCAGCCTGAGCAACACAGTAAGACAAAAAAAACAATCATTTTTTTTTTTTTTTTTTGTTTTAAATTAAAAAAATTACTGGCCAGGCACAGTGGCCACCCCTATAATCCAGCAACATTTCGGCGAGGCCAGACAGTCGGATTGATTGAGTCCGGAGTTCGAGAACGCCAGCCTTGGGCAACATGGCTAAAAACCCAATCTCTATTAAAAAAACACAAAAAATTAGCCAGGCAATGGTGGTATATCGCTATAATCCCAGCTACTTGGGAGGCTGAGCCACGAGAATGCACTTGAACCCCAGGAGGTGGAGGTTGGGCCGGTGGCGGGCCGAGATCAACCTAACCACGCACTCCAGCCGCTTCGTCAAGAGTGAGACTCTGTCTCAAAAAATATAATTAATAAATTATAAAAAAAA